AGAATGAGGGGATCTCCTACCCTGTGGAAGGATTTCATCAATTATATGTAGCAATGCCTATATTACCTATATATTATTGGTGGCTGCCCACGCATCCTTGTCATATGCTGGTAGCATTATAGTCTGCTAGCGAACATGTGCTTGCCGTGTATTTAAATGAAGCTTCCTGGAAAATAGGTAACTATTCAGACTTCGGGCTTATGAAATTTGCAATTCGTGATCAGGCAATTCCTAAAACCAATTGCCATAGCTGCTTTAAAGAGGCAGTTTGGTCTAGTGGTTAAGGCACCAGGCTAGAAAGCAACAGAACATGAGTTCAAGTCCCACCTTAGCCACGAAAGCTAGTTGGGTGATCTTGGCTTACTCTTTCTCTCTCTCTCTCTTAGCTCAACCCACTTCACACAGTTGTTGTGGGGAAAGTAGGAAGAAGACGGTGTGTTGGATATGTTCGCTGAACCTTGAGTTGTTGGTAAAACTAATGAAAGTGGGATACAAATAAATAAAAACAATTCCTTTTTCCCCCCTTTGTAAAGCCGTCCTTGTGCAGCTCTCCGATACGGTGAAAACCCTTGTGTGGAAGGAAGCGTTAATACGAATCAAGCATATCTCGGGAGGAAATTATACTTTTGAATTCTTCAGTACTGTTCTTCAAAGTCAACCATTTGGAAGAGTGATATTACCCCTGTCTCTGGTCCCCATGTACGTCCCCAAACTCCCAGCCTCCTCGGTAATATTTCTCTGTGTGACCCTTCTCCATTACCCTAGTTAGTGTGTCGGAGAACAGGACCAAAATAGATTCACGGGAGCTGTTTTTAGTAACCCGTTCTGGGTGCTGGGCTGAAGCAATTTTTGTCTCTGCGTTTACTAACTCCCAGTAGCTAGCTGCTTGGCTTCTTTCGATCAAACGCTCCATCGTTGCCTTTTGGTGGACAATTCTAACACGTTTACAGTTTTGGAGAGAAACTGGGGTGAGAATACTCGTCATACTCCTAATCACAACGGACTGACTGAATAATTGGTTTTTAGTGGGAAATCTAAGGCTGGAATCTTTCCAAGCTAAGTTGCCTTGGAAATTCATAAACAGTGCACGTGTCACATTACGTGTCATCTTTAGGAAATTGTCTCACGCTCACTCTATGCCTGCTTCAAAGGAGTCGATTTGACAGGATGATTATGGGCAGGATTCGCGGACAAAGGCGTTACATGCAATTTTTGCGGGGAAGGGCTTATAGTGTCCTACGGACCGAGGAATTCAGAGACACACAGTTGAGAAATTGTCTACAGAGCCTTTGGGTTGACACTGGGCTGGCTCACTTGTAATCGTGGCATTGTGCACAAGCAGTCCCCAACTTCACCCCAGTTCATTTAGCGACCGTTACAACAGCATTGAAAAAAGGGGCTTATGACCATTTTTCACACTTATGACCGTTGCAGCATCCCCCAGGGTCCCGTGCTCAAAATTCAGACGCCGGGCAACTGACTCACACTTATGACGGTTGCAGCGTCCCCCGGGGGTCACGTGACCCCCCTTTTGCAACCTCCTGACAAGCAAAATCAATAGGGAAGCCAGATTGACTTAACAACCATGTTACTAATTTAACGGCAGTGATTTCTTGCAGCGGGGGCAAAACGCACGTAGCAAATGTCTCGCTTAACAACCGACATTTTGGTCGTAAGTCAAGGACTCCCTGTATTCTTCCTGGGTTTTGCAAGCTCCAACTCAGTTGAATTCTTTCTCCCCTGCAATCCACAGTTTGGTTTGCAAGTGTGTGTGTGTGTGTGTTGGACTGCTTGTAATAGCAAATAATGACATGCACTACAGAGGAGAAAACAACCCAATACTCACATTAGAGCAGAGGTCTCCAACCTTTTGGGCACCAGGGACCGGTTCCGTGGAGAGAGGTTTTTCCACGGACTGGAGAGTATGTGGTTTTGTGTGCTGCCTGCATCCCGCAGATGGGGCTTTGCTTGTTTGTGCGGACTGGTTGCTGGCATGCTGCGGCCCGGTACTGAGGGTTGGGGACCCCTGGTCTAGAGCTTTCTCTCCTATCTATCATCTATCTATCTTCTCTATCTCCCTCCCTCCCTCCATCTCTCTCTCTCTCTCTTTCCCTCCCTCCCTCCCTCCCTCTCTCTCTCACATGTGTGCACAAACATACACACACACACACACACGAGATATGGATGGCACCCACTGTTCTGGGTCTGATTTCAGGCCTGGGGTTAATGTGCTCGAGAGACACCTGTTTCTGGTGGGCTGTCTTGTTTTGTATGATGTTTTTAACTGTTTTGATCATGCATTGGATGTTGTGAGTTAGCCGGATTGTCCTGGTGTGTGGGCAGCCTAAATAAATAAAATATAAACAAAGCAACCTACACTTCTGCACCTGCAGAAGAAGAATACCTTTTTAAACATTTAAAACTGAGTTTTGAGCAGTTCTTCAGAGGAGAAGCGGTTAGCCAGATCTAAGGGTGCAAGAAGAAAATGGAAGAGTTTGCAAAAAAAAAAAGCCCAAACTTGTTTACCTCCTAGTGCCAAACTGCACAATTGCCATCTTGTGCTGCAGATGGGATGGCGTATTATTTGACTGGAACGGTAATAATACCAGCCTGATTATTCCCTCTCCCCCCCCCCCCAGTGTGGCATTGCCAACTTCTGCTGACAGTTTTTATTTTCTTCCTTCCATTCAATCATGTCCGATTCTCAGAGACTGCCTGGATAAGTTTGCTTGTCAGAGTTTTTCCAGAAAGTTTTTCATTGCCTCCTTCCTAGGGCTGAGAGAAAGTGACTGGCCCAAGGTCACCCAGCTGGCTTTGTGCCTAAAGGCAGAACTAGAACTCAGGGCCTCCTAGTGACTAGCCTTAGTGCCTTAATCACTACATTCAACTGGCTTTTTCTTGACAATTACCCCAGCGTTATCAGTTATTGTGCACTTTAATAAGTCTGAAACTACTCCATGCGCCGTGGTGGCGCAGTGGTTAGAAGGCAGAATTGCAGGCTAACTCTGCCCAGGAGCAGCAGTTCGATCCTGACTAGCCTCCCATCTTTCCCAGGTCGAAAAAATAAGGACCCAGCTTGTTGAGGGCAATATGCTGACCGCTTAGAGAGGGCTGTAAAGCACTATGAAGCGGTATATAAGTCCAAGTGTTATTGCTGTTGCTACTGTAAGGTTGTTTGTTGTTTTTTTTTTGAATAAAGGAGAGTAGAGCCAAGGCTCTTTTATGGTAATTTTTTTCCATTCTAGGTACCAGAACTGACTTGCAGACATGCAGTGTGGTTGTGTATAAATCAAGGGAATACTTAGTGAAAGGTATTGTGACAACTCATGTTTGATCAGCCAGCTAGCCTTTCTTTTGCTTGCATGGAATTTGAATTTTGGAAAAAAAAATATTGCTCTACCAAATTCAGTAGAACAGAGCATTGATTCCGAATGAGCTATATGTTTTTAAAGTCATGAGGAACTATTGCCTACAAGGAGAGGAAGACGAAGCCATTAGGGCAGGGGTCTTCCAACGTGGCCCTTTTATGACTCGTGGACTTCAACTCCCAGAATTCCTCAGCCAGCGTGCCAGAGAATCCCTGCATTAGGGATTGCTGCCGAAGGGAAGCTCATGTATCGAGACGAAAATATTGGATTGAATTTTGAGCATTTGCTTTTAATCTCAATTCAGCTGTAAGTTTCTACACACTCGTAGCCAGTCATATACAGGTAGAGTCCTTGACCTACGACCACAATTGAGCCCAAAGTTTCTGTTGCTAAGTGAAACGTTTTTAAAGTGGATTTTGCCCCATTACTTGCCACAGTTGTTAAGTGAATCACTGCAGTTGTTAAGTTAGTAACACGGTTGTTAAGCGAATCAAGCTTCCCCATTGACTTTGCTTGTCAGGAGGTCACCATAAGGGGAATCACTTGACCTCCTGGCACTGCAACCGTCAGAAGTATGAATCCGTTGCCAAGCGTCTGAATTTGGATCACGTGACCACAGGCATCCTGGAACAGCTGTGCGTGTGAAAAACGGCCATACGTCCCTTTTGTCAGTGCCGTTGTAACTTCGAACAGTCACTAAATGAACTGTTGTAAGTCGGGGACTACTTGCACACAATGCCAACATTACAGGTGATCCAGGCCAACATCAACCAAAAGGCTCTGTAGGCATTTTATCAAATGTGTTTTTCTGAATCCCTCCGTTTGTAGGACACTATAAACCAGGGGCCTTCAAACTCAGTCCTTTTATGACTCGGGGACTTCAACTCCCAGAATTCCTCAGCCAGCGTGCCTGGCTAGGGAATTCTGGGAATTGAAGTCCACGAGTCAAAAAAGGGCCGAGTTGGAAGACCCCTGCTATAAACCCTTCCCTGCAAAAATTGCATTATAATGCTTTACCTTTACTTTTCGCTTAATTTAGCTCACTGGATGTTTTAAGAAAAACTGGGCAAGGGAGCAGCCAGCTTAAAGCCCACTGAGAAGAGGCAAGCTACAGTTATCATAATGAGGGAAGGCAGAGCTCACACCCCAGAGAATAGGGAACCGTGATCTGAAGTGCAACTGATTTCTTTAATTTCTAGTGGTCTTCAATGATAAATCCCGTAGGTGCTCCAGAAATTGCCATTCATTTCTGGAAAGTACCTGTTTCCCTGGCTGTGTTTCCGCCTCGCATGATAGATATATTTGAGAATCTTCAACCTCATTTTTATTTTCATTTTCATTTTATTTATAAGCCACCAGTGGGTTGAACTCATATGATATAGTAAGCTATAAATTGTGGTTTATTAACCACAGTGACTGAATTCATACATGGCTAGCTTTCCAAAATGGTGCGTTTCCCCTTCTCTTTTTGACAGCTGAAAGTCTTCAGTGCTTTAGCCTTTTTCTGATTCAATTTTTGATGAAACGACTACAGGTTTAGGAAAGCTGCTTCACAATCCCAGTACCTAAGGATCTCTTTGGTTGTCACTAGCTGCTTCAGTCCCAGCTAATGTTGCTTCTGTCTTTTCCCAGATTAACCTCAGCAAAGTAGGTGAATACTGGTGGAGTGCCATTCTGGAAGGCGAAGAACAGATCGACATTGATAAAATCAATAAGGAGCGTTCTATGGCCACGGTGGATGAAGAAGAACATGCAGTGCTGGATAGACTGTCTTTTGATTATCATCAGAAGCTTCAAGGCAAGCCCCAGAGCCACGAAATGGTACGTTTCATAAAACTCCAAAGGAGTGGAAAAATAATTATGGTTTGCTAATTGTTCCTTTGTTGCTATTGGAGATGGGTTCTTTTCTCTTTTTTTTTTTAAAAAAAATTGCTTACTATTGGGTCTTACCATTCTAAGTTGGGCTTTTAGCTGAACTGCTAAATACAATTAATGTTTGGTGGTGTTCTTTTCTTAAAGGGCTATTAGAGGCTAAACTTCAGTTCCCAGCTCTTTATGTGAACTACCAGGCTGTATCTAGTTTTCACCCTGCAGACTAGCTGAAGTCATCAGTTGAACAAGACCTTCCGTAGGAACTAAACATCTCTTCATCTTGGTTAATGAAAAAAAATGGAAACCACTATTTTTTAAAATCAACCGCCTGTAAATCCAAGAACACTCCTGAACATAGCCTACAGATGGTGACACCGTAAACTAAGGGTGTCAAACTGCCGGCCCATGGGCCGGATGCGTCACGCGGAAGCCGCGCCCACCTCAGCTCCGGCAAGGGAGAAAAACTCGCGATACGTCGCAATACGTCACGTGACGCGGCGGGTTTGATACCCCAACTGTAAACTAAACTCTCATTCACACTATATACCGAAAGTAACTTTGTTCTCTTGTACCTTCATCCTAAACCAGGGGTAGGCAACCTTGGCTCTTTTATGACTTGTGGACTTCAACTCCCAGAATTCCTGAGTCAGCATAGCTGACTCAGGAATTCTGGGAGTTGAAATCCACAAGTCATAAAAGAGCCAAGGTTGCCTACCCCTGTCCTAAACCATGATTTATTGTGATGGGAATAAACTTTACGCCTCTTCCTTGCTCCTTTACACTGTGGTCTTCCTGGTATGGCTGCAAATTCATACCCATTTTGATTTCCATTAGATGTGACTTGCTTTATTGGCCCATCTGTACTACTGCACTATTCAGCTCCTAGATATGCTTTATCAGACTGCTGCCATCCACTATTAAGAATAATCACAGTTTAGGAAGGGGGAGGAATACCTTATCTATTCCAACCTGCACTTTCTCAGCGTATTGGACCTTCCACTTCCAAAATTCCCAACCGTCATGATCAAAGCCATCTTCAAGGTATAATTCCATTTTAGTTGAAAATTTGGGAAATGCAGTGCCCAATGTCTGGAAAGTTCCAGGTAAGGAAAGTTGCACTAAACCAGTGATGGCGAACCCTTTAGAGACCGAGTGCCCAAACTGCAACCCAAAACCCACTTATGTATCGTCGGGTGCCGGGTGGGCATGGCCCATTGGGTGGGTGTGGCCCATTGGGTGGGCGTGGCTGTGGTGGTAACGGCAGACTGGGTGGGACTAAAAAGTTCAATCAATCAATTCCAACTTGGTGAGATCTTTTTTTTTCCCGCGTGAAGTTGAAATTGATTGATTGAACTTTTTTTTTTTGGTAGACGGCGGCGGAGGCCTAAAGCGAAAAGGTTTTATAAAACCCAGCTGAAGGCCTAGGACTGGGGCCACAGCGTGCGTGCCCACAGAGAGGGTTCTGCGTGCCACCTGTGGCACGCATGCCATAGGTTCGCCACCACGGCACTAAACTGTTAAAAATGCTTAAGCACCCCACCAGATAGAAGGCTGAACTAATGAGTTTGTTAGTGGTATTCATGGCTCTTTCCCCATCAGAATAAAACTGGGGGCTGACCTCGGCCTGAATTGATTTGGTTTCCTCAAATGTTTTAAATATCTGTCTGCCATCCCTTGAAAAATGCCTGACCCAGGCATATTTAAAGCAGGGCTTGTCCGGTCTTTAAGACCTGTAGATTTCAACTCCTAGAATTCTATGCTGGCTTGGGAATTCTGGAAACTCAGGTCCACACGTCTTAAAGTTGCCCTGATTGGACAGCCCTGGCTTAAACGACGGGCAACACCCTCGCAAGGATAAATTCATCTCCTGAGCTTTTGCATCACGTCCTGTTTTCAGAAAGTCCACGAGATGCTGAAGAAGGGCTGGGACGCCGAAGGCTCTCCGTTCCGAGGGCAGAAGTTCGACCCCTCCATGTTCAACATCTCTCCGGGGAACATGCATTTTTGATGGTAGCGGCAAGTGGAAGAGGAGGAGGAGGAGGAGGAGGAGAACATTGTGGCCTTCATCCTTGGCACGAGAGACAGCCCCCCACACGCTACTGCCAGACTCTCACATCCGACGCTGGAAGGGTCTCTTGCTGTCCCTGCTTGTTCTTTGGGGCTTGTTTGTAAAATGACAAGATGGTTAAAAATGGTTTGGCATGTGTGGGCTTGCGTTTGGGGGGAGGGGGCAGAGAGGGAATGGAAGTGCGGAACGTGGGTGTAAGTCCTTCCCTCCAGCGCCAGGTTGGTGCTTTTGATATTTATGTGGGGGAAGCCTAGCAGAAGCAGCATTACGTACTGTGTCACCACGGCAACCTGCAGCTGCTGGTAGCATTTCCTCGGCTCCTTAATGGATTCATTTGTTGCTTGGGGTGGTGATGGGGGGGGGGAGAGAGAGAGAGAGAAGAAAAGAGGTTGGTTGAAGGTATTCCTCCTCCCCTTTTCAGAAATAGATGCAGCTGGGTGAAATGGTGACAACTTCTCTCTGGCTTCCTTGAAACCGCCTTCTGTGTGTGTGGTGTGTGTCTGTCTGTGTGTGTCTCTCTGTCTCCCCGCTCTGCAGCTTTTAGGGAACCCGAACTCCTCCGAGTGCTGGGCAGTGACAAGTCCTGGCAATCTGCAATCAGTGTCATTTGAGCGGGATCTAAATTGTGGGGTTTGGTCCTCAAGACCCCAAGGAGTGGGAGGGGAACGTTGGAGGATCAGGCACGTCCGTGGAAAGGAGCCCGCCCAGAAGGTGACACTTGCAGCCAGCGTTTCTATGATGGCCTAAGAAGCCCTGGCCAACAGATAACCCAGTACAAAACGGGCACAACTAGAGGCTCTTCATGCTGTGGTTTTCCGTTGTGTTTGGGATTCATAGATCACAGAATCTCAGAAAACTGCATCTCCCTCTCTTCACCACCCCCACCCCAAATGCTCTAGCCAGGAAGCTTTCGGAGCTCATGGCCCCATTTTCCTCATTTCCCCACCTATAATTATATGAAGTGCATAATTGTATTTTATACATTTCTGGGGTTTTGATCAACAGGGAGATGGGGGCAATCAGGACCATCTGGCCGAGGTTTTAAGAGCCCTTTTTTGTGTAGAGCGGTCCGAACAAAATTAGCCTCCCTCCACCCAGCTGCTATTTGCCCCAGAAAGAAAACTGCCATTAAGGTCAATAGTAATTTTTCCTCCTAGAGCAGAGCAATTTCCATATGTATGTATGCATGTGGCCACTGTGATTATCTTCTTCATAACTTTTTTTTTTTTAAAAATAATAATATCCAACAAGGAAAAGTCCTGTAGCTGGCTAGATCCTTTTAGGGACCTTTTTAACTAGCCCCCTGCTTGTGCCATTACATAAGAACCCTGTACCGTGTAAGTAATAAGAAATAGCTATACACAAAAAGGAAATAAAGAGATGGTACATTTCCATTTGTCCATTTATAACGAAAGCCCCAACCCCGTCAAAATATTAAAAACACATTTTTAAGTGAGTTGAATCTTCTAAACAGGCTACTCGGAAACTAAAATAGCTGTCTTGTCTGTCCTGGAGGAGGGGGTCCACTGATAGAACTGGGGGCTCAGTTTCCCTGAGAGAATTACAATTCTGACAACGAAGTCCACATAACGAGTGCAGAGTCTAATTTCACAGAGGATGTGTCCATCCAGAAAGTGTTCCACCCTGTGACAGCTGGGCACAAAACTGACAAAAAGATTTGCTTTTTCAGAGGGGATCTTTCCATCTTCCAGCAAGCTGAAAGACAACTGAAGAAGAGAGAAAGGAGAACGAGGATGTCATCTAAGGAGCCGGAAAGCAGCACATAATGTCAAAGAATATGGATGGAGAGAAGTTGGGTTGACTTGGAAACATGTTTGTTACCTGTATCATTTTAGACTACGACTGAGTGAAATACTGAACTGCACAAAACACCCCATAAGACTGGCTTAGAGACAAAATGCATTCACTGGGCCTATCTCTGCGTGTAGGTTGGTTACTGGGCCTTCTATGGTTTGAATCGCCAAGCTTAGCGTGACCTGCAATGGTAGGATTCTAGTAAGAAATGGGAGAACATAGCCATGGTTTATTTTTAGTGTGTTGACAGCACCATCCCTGAATTTCTTCTAGCAGATGAAGCCAGGGTCATCTTGTTGGCTATATGGGAGAGACAATGAACTGGTGAATCAACTCTTAGAGCTCACAGGAACGTCCAAATGTTGAATCAACCCTGCGGTTGAAGTGGCGTGAATATTGGTCCTTGGATTGCCCCAATTGTCGCCGTTGAGGAAGTATCTCATCCCTTTTTTGAGAAACGTAGTTAACTGCTTCCCATTACATAAGGCCTTATGGAGTGTGAGCTTTGGGAAGTGACCTGGGCCAGGGCTTTTCAACCTTTTCACCCATTGTACCACTTTTAGGATATGGCAATATCCGAGTACCACCAGTCGCCTAGCAAGGTGTCAAAAACTTGATGACCCCCCCCCAAAAGGAAAAAGTGATAAAGTACAGATAGTTCTCGACTTACAACAGTTCGCTTAGTGACTGAAGATACAATGGCACTGAAAAAAGTGCCTCCCAAGCCACAGCTGAGCAAGACACCTGCCTGGCCGCCCAGTGGCGCTCTTCCTCCTGTCCGAGGTTTCCATTGTTGTGAGCATTTCTGTTGAGGATTGACAGCGGGGGTGGGGTGGGGGGTGTTTGGTTTTTATTCCCCCCGTCTGCTGGGTGGCTACAGCAGGTTTTGGTCACTTCACATGACCCTGGGACACTGTGACCATCATAAATACGAATCAGTTGCCAAGCATCTGAATGTAAATCACAAGACCCTGGAGATGCTGCAGCTGATCGGCGCTTCTTCTGGACTCAGCAGAAGCACCAGGATCAGCGCTGAGTTCCAGCTGGAGCCTGGCGCTGATCCTGGCGCTTCCGCTGAGCCCTGACAGCCCTGCAGCTCCAGCCATCTCTCGCTCAGGCTTGTGCGATGCTGCCACCGGTTCAGCTCATTCCCCTCCCCTGCTACCACTTTTCTAGGATGGTCGCGTACCACCTGCCAGGTGCCAATGTACCACAGGTGGTACCCGTACCACTGGTTGAAAAGCCCTGACCTAGGCAAGACCTTAGCAATCCATTCACAAGAGACAGAGTGCGCTGGCCACGGGGGCAAGGCTGAGCACAAATAACTGTTGCCTTGGCAGAAAGCAGCCATTCTGCTGCATGCTTTCTGGCGCATCCCATGCCACTCGAGGCAGCAGCTGCCGTGCCATAAAAGCAACGATCGAAGCAGGCAGACGTTCAGCTGTGATGTGCTGGGCAGGGCTGGAATCCCAGTCCCACATGTGCAAGGCGAAGGCTCCTTTGAGGTGGGCCTGCCCTTGCTTCAGAGATAATGCATTTTGTTCAGTAATGGCCGCTCCTCTACAATCCAATTTCTGAAGAAAAGACAGCGGTATGTTGGTTGTAGAAAGTAGGCCTGGATAACCTTGCACTCTGGGTTTTAAAATATGTTTTCTCCTGCAAGAAATGGGCTTTTTACATTATAGCCCTTCTCTGGCTAACGGGGTAGGTTCCTTAATCATGTATTCCATCAATTATGTTCCATGGCCCTTGTGGGTTTCCTGGATGCACAGATGAATACCTATGTCCCAAACAGCACCTAGTGTTAGGCCGGCTTCCTTTAAGTCAGGGGTAGTCAACCTTGGCTCTTTTATGACTCGTGGACTTCAACTCCCAGCTATGCTGGCTCAGGAATTCTGGGAGTTGAAGTCCACGAGTCATAAAAGAGCCAAGGTTGACTACCCCTGCTTTAAGCCATCAGTCTCTAATACAGTACAACTAACAGTACATTTGTTATTCTAGTGCCTAATTTTTTTTTCCCTTCAAGGAAAAGAGTAAAGAGTTGAGGGCTCAACTGCCAGTAAGTACTTCTCTGTTTTACATAATTTATTATTTCTAAAGCACCTAAAATCAACCACGGAGCGGCTTTGAGGTTTGTCTAAAGTGCTGTGGGTGGTTCCTGGGAGCACATTATTCTGAAGAACTTCACAAGACCTGCTACTGATTAGTATTTTGTCCCCTGTCCACCCACACATTTCATTGTTGAACAAGGCCCCGGATCTTAGAAATCACGTTTGTGGGCATTTCTGAGTTTGAGTTTCTGTGTAGAAATGCAGAACTTCTGGTTCCAGTGGGTTTGAGGGTGACTCTCTTAACAAGTCTGAAGTAGGATAATTCAGAAAGAGGGGGGCGGTTCTCTGTAGGAGAAATGCATCCTTCTTCTTCTAGAAATAAAAGCTCCTGGGTTCAGTTCACTAAACAAAGCGATCCAGCAGTTTGGTTAAATTTCCAGCTAAGAAAAAACAAACAAACCAGGAATTAGCTGGGTTGATCATTTTGGTGAGTCTGCATAATGGCTGTTCGCAGAATGTCAATTATCAACCCCTTTCCAAGAATAGCTTGTCACCATATAGATTTGTAGCAGTACATTTTGGCAAAATAGGGACAGGAAAGGACATGCTAAAAAAACTCAGCGGTGATATCAACTTGATTTTAGTCTTGCAAGTATTCTGGCAAGGAGATATAACACGTCCCACAGAATATCTTCTGCCCAAATAATGCACAATTATTGAATCAGAAGCAGGGTGGCAAGAATCGAAGCTACGCAACAAAAGTGGAACCTTTGAAGAAATGTGATTTTATTTTTAATATATTTAATCTTCAACCCGACTACAGTATTGTATAGAGCCCGGTCACTCGGCACTCAGTTGATTTGAGATTGCACTGAACTCTGGCCTAGCTAGGCGAAGATAGCCCCCAGGATATTTAGTTTCTAGAAGAAACTAAATGCTTTATTCTGCATCCATTCTGTGTTTTGAATGGACAGGCTTGCTTTCTCTTCTCATCAAGTCAACAAAGGGACATCCAGACCAAGCCTGCACAGGGTGACTCTTTCCAGCTTCCTCCAGGCCTCTAGTTCTCCATGGTAGCCTTTGATAAATTCAGTCCTGCGCTCTCACTGAAAATGGAGGAAGGGTTGTTAAGCGCTTAACAAGCACACAGTGCAAAACTGCCACAAATTTTGTACGCTTGGAAGCAGCTTATTTCTGGCTTTGCTCTTTTTTGTTTTTACTTCTCCT